TCTTTAACTGTTTGTGACAGAGAAATTATTACATCATATATTTTGTTATAATGATCTAAAAAATTAATATTGAAAAATCAATGCTACAGAAATAAAAAATAGGATATTGAAAATACTTTCTATGATAATTAACATTGATGTCATTAGCGTTTGTAAGTCCTGTATGCCTACAATTTGGACTTGAAAAATATCAGAATATTGTTAATAATAAATTTTAAAATAGGAATGATATGAAAATAATATACATTAATAATAAATGGACCAAATATATACCGTTACTTTTATTGCATATTATTTCGTCAATGCTGCAGATCAATGATTTCTTCAAGTAATTGATTAGTATTAGTAGATAGTTATTTGTAGTTTAGTAACAGGTGTTGTAAGAGTCGATTTGGCAGAGTCAATCTCGGCTGAGAGTCAGATTTATTTAGCGTTTTTTCTTATTGGGATTTTCACATTCTTTTTCGTTGGTGTAGAAGAATATTATTGCTGTTATCGCATGATGAATAATTTGTAGCTTTGCTCTAACCTGTTCTAACGTATTTTGGTAAGAATAAAATCATAACTTTTAAATTATATTATTTTTCAACAATTTATAACTTGTACGAATAAGAGCTATATAAATAATGAAATATAGGTTTCCATAATATCCATTCCATGAAATTCTATAGGATATAGAGCCCACTTTGGGTCATTATGATCAGACAAAATTTGTTTTGATATAAATGTATTAATATTTTTGATCGTTGGCCACCAGCATTTTGTTGCATTTAATCGAAGTCATGAGCTCGGACACGATTTCTTCTTCATTATCGCCGTCTTGAAGATACGTTATAACAGCATACGTTTTTGTCATTGTTGATTATCTATAAAGGTAATAAAAATAATAATAATGATAATAATAATATATTTTGTTAAGTAATATTAATTATTAACATTTCTATATGCTACACCTAGTTAGATATATATATATACTTATATACTCGCCATAAGGATGTATCTTGGTGAAATAAAGACAGTATTACTGCTTCTTCTTCATATAAAAGCAATTTTACGCATTTGGTTTTGATATCAGTCAATGAAGCAATAACTGATTTGTAATGTAATTCGCTAATTTGTTTAATTTCGATGTTTAAAGAATCGAGTTTTAAAAAATGACTTCAAATATTTTTTACCCTCAAAAACGAAAATCTGTTTATTTTTTAAATAAACTTTTGTAAGCGAAATTATTGTATCATCAAACAGAGAACAATTATCAGCGGATCGTGTAATATATAGAATATCTATATACTAATAATATAGAAGTCCTTGAATTGATTTTATTACCCTTTTGTCATTAGCATTTGAAATATTGCTAAAATGTGGAATTGGATAATTCTTTTTTTTACGTACTGAATCCAAATTATCATCTTCTATATAACGAATTAACTATGTTAAAGGTCGATTCGAAGATCTGATTCTTTTTTTAATTTTTTTGTAATTTTCATACTTAAACTCGTCTAACGGTCCCCATAACTTCACGTAGTTACAAATGAATTAAATTATGCATGTTATTTGAGATATGCTGATTGATTTGATATAATATACCATAATTTTCTGTAAAATACAATAATAAGCAGTGTGCATAATCAAGCAGTTGTACACAATATTCTTTCGAATATATAAAATTCGAATTATTATACTGAGGCTTAAGAAATGAATGTACTTATCTTGAGATTCTTGTAAAATATTACAGGCTCGGTATACAACAACAATTGTCTAAATTAATAATTCGATAGCTTTAAATCGATCAACGTGATCGAGTCTTGGCTTTCTACAAAATTCTTTCGGTAGGAAAGCCGAAAATGACAGCAACATTTAAAATGCCTAATCGAGCTGTCACATAACGTACATTCATTTTACCCTGTACCCAGAACTACAGCAATTTTTTCATTATTACTAACAGCACAAGGTGCATATAATCCAATGAGAATTGTATGACCAATATTTAATTCTTCAAGACATGAAGTGAATTTATGATGCTCTTCCTGTTGTTTAAACTTGAAAGATTCATCTGATCTTAATGTTGCATGGATTTCTGAAATCCATGATGGAAATGTGACTTGATATTCTATATAATCTCCCTCCTGAATGCAGTTACTACATCCAAAATGGACATTGTGTTTCACATCCTTTAATAAAAGATCTTGCAGGGTTATCGCAGATAAACGCATTTATTTTTACAGTTATTTTTTTATCAAATTCTATAATGCCTGAAATTTCAATGTAATCATTTGTAAAATATTACATTAAATCATTACCCTATTTTGGCTTTTTACCGTATATACACCAACTATAAATGGTTCAGTGTAAAAATCTGCCACGATACTAGCTAAAATTGGTCAAAATTAACTACCGGATGATTTTGTTAACGGAAGATCCTCTACATTCACGTTAATATTTATTTGTTTCCTATGGAAATACGAGAATAATGCTTACAACAGACTTTTTTAAACTTTCGCCTAAACCTGCATGATAATAATGTACCGGTTCCATTTGCACAATATCTACTTATTTGGGAGTTCAAAGTAAAGTTCTAGCGTCAATTGATAGATCATGGCCGTATTTCACTAGAATTTTCAACAAACTATTTAAAGCAAAATGGATCAAAGAGTTATTAATAGCCCATTTTCGAATCTCATCTGAAATATCAGTTAAAATTGAAAAGTCTTCATCAGAATTGCTTGACTGAAAAAGAAAAAACTATTTTCATTGGTACTAATTCTTGCACATGTCGATATTAATTAAATCATTATTTACATTGAAATTGTCAATGTTAACTTCTCTTACGACATTTTGTTTCTAAGATAATTGCTCGATATTGTTTGATACATCACGAACGATATCATTTTCGACTTTTAAAAAATTTAAATTGACCGGCTGAATACGAATATTATTAATTATATATAAATTAATTATATATAATATTCTTAAATTCTTTTAAAAAGTCTTTTATGTGGCTACTTTGGTGTTACACAAGAAA